CTCCTAGAGATTTGGCTAGTTTTTACATTGTTTAATGACAAGGGCGGAGCTAACATATAGAGGACGGTGTTAAATGACACCATATATCGTAAATCATACAATTAAAGAAGCTATGTGAACTTGTGAAACAAAGTGAACACTCCAAATTATTTTAATAGTGAGTAGTAACCTATTAATTTTTAATGGGCCAAACCTAAAAATAAAAGTGAGTCTAGACCCATTAAAAAAATGTACTCGATCAGTGGTATTTCAAATAAGGATATTATGCAACAATTTCAAAAAAGTAAAAACACTTGCAGGTCAATTCTAATGGTATTAGTTAAATATCTTTTTTGAATCTCATCAAAGTTCTTGACTATATTAAAAATGATAAATTAGCTATATGTGTTTTTCATATAGTGACACCATACTTGTAAATTTCTAGCTCCGCGAATGACCTACTTAGCAACTTTGATCATCTAAATATTAAAACACACATTAACGTAGAAAAGCTATCATCAACATTTGAACCCCACGCTCCCCTTAGAAAAAGAAATACTCCAGACCAATCGTTCCCTCAATATAAAAACAGAAGTTGTCATTAACATCAATTAATTCAAAGTTTAGATTTTAAAATGCATATGGACATCGAAAAAGTTGAACGTATATATGCATGGGGGCAGTGTCCCAGTTAGCATATTTATTTTTCAAATTGAATTAGCAGCTAGAAAATTAATAAACTGATGGATCATTTAATTAGAATTCAGGTGATCAGTTCGAAGATACATCCATGTACAAAGTTTTACTAAGGTATAATTAATATTTCTTGATATTTTCTTATTTATGACCATATATATGTAGCCCAGACTTGAAACCAAAGTTTAGTTAACCTATTCCCTCTCTTTCCCGCCATTCTTAGCCACCCCTCCAACTCACGCAAGGTACGTATACCCCCTTTTATCCCCCTCCAAGTCACACAAACACGGCCACATATATGGCATATCAAATCCAATATTCCAAACCACAGAGAGCATATTAATTTGCCCAAACAATTAATGGAGTCTGTAGGCTCAAACTCTCCTCCAGCAACCTCCGACCGGCCGATCATCGACCGCCTTGTCCCGCGTTGAGCCACGCGCGTCGCCCTGCTCCACCGCTCCGACCCTACCTTCTACGTCCTCGGAGCCACGCCAACGTCTACGCGGTAACCGTCTCCCCCAACCCCGACGTGCAACGTGCCCGGACCGCACGTCCCCGTGCAAACACATCCTCTTCGTCTCTCTCCGCGTACTCAGCCTCCCCTACGACGACCCTGCCTCCTCCGCCGCCACGCTCCGCCATTCAGACGTGTCCCCGACTGCTGTCAGCACCAACGCTAGCGGGTTGCGCGGCGGGGGCCCAGGGCGTGGCAAAGGTTCCAACGAGGGCATACGACGGCGTTAAGAAGCGGAGAAAAATTTGAGGAGGAGGAGGAAGGCAGGGGAGGGGCAGAGATATGTCCGGTGGCTTGGAGGAGATGGAGGAGCGAGGAGGGGATAGCGACCGTGCGCGACGTGCGGGATCCGTGCACGCGGGAGTGCTTGTAAAGTGGAGGAGGAGCAGGGGGAGGAGGCGGCGAGCTGCGTGGTTTGCCGGGCGAGTGGAGGGAGAGGGGGAAGGTGGAGAGGTACTTGAATTTGGCGGGTACGTCGGGGAGGAGGGGGAGAGAGGGGGTGGGGGTTTGTGCGAGATAAGAGAAGAGGAGGAGGGTGGAGATTTGTGTGCGCGCGCCCATGGTTTATACGTGTTAGATCGATAGTAGGATGTGTTTGTGTGTTTAAGATTTGGAGTTTGGATTCATGTCAACGCTAATTCTATAGCTTTGTGTACTGGTTTTCATAAAATAAAAACGGAAATTTCTGCGTATAATAGCGCCTCAAAACCGTGGTCAGAAATTAGTTGTAGATGAAGCTATTGTACCGGAGAAAATTGCATAAAATTTGTCTCGGTGTGGATTTCCTCTGGGCTTTGATTTGACCAACAAAACGGTTTGGGTCTTTCTATGAAAACCATCTTTTAGAGCAGGTCGAGTAGATAATAATGATATAGGAAGAAATTTTTTTTTATATATACGTAAGCCATCTTTTAAGTTGGGTTTAGTTTTCAAGCAATCGCTTTTTGTCAAATTCTGCTCAATTAATATCTTAAGTTAATTTAGTTTTTCAATCAACGAGTGTCAAACACGTGCATTTAATATGAATATTCTGGACATTTGTAACATTAATTGAGTAGAATTTGACTAAAAATGATTGATTGAAAGCTAAAGCTGCTTATAAGAAGGTTTACGCATGCATAAAAACATTTCAAAGTTGGTTTCTATAATGAAAACCTCCGAAAGGATTTGGTAAAGATGGAGAGGTAGAAGAATGTCGACCCAATCCGCCCATCATTTTCCATTCACACATAAAATTTCTATCCGTAATTCATGTGAAGATCTAGTAACTCAGAGCAGCATCACGGTCAACAAATAAAACAATCAAAGACAACAGTTAAACACCACGAATACAATTACTAAAAAAATCACATAAATCCAGAATATAACATAAATAGGAAACCAATCAATAAACAAGATCGACATAATCAAAACAAGTTCCAAATTTCCCAGCAATCAGAACAAGCTGAAGCAATTAATGGCTGAAGCCCACTGCAACCCACCAAGCTCCGAAGCCAACCGCAGTCACGGCCGACAAAACCGAGCACGAGGCCACCGAGGCCGAGCTCGAATCTGGCGACGGCGTTGGAACCAGCGGCAAGCCGGCGACCTCGACCATCAGCCTCTGCCCTTTCTCACAGTGCTCGACATCACCACTCACAAAGTAGTAGAACCCTAGCTTATCAAGAACTATCACTGTGCTCCCATCCTTCAGCGTTGGAGTTTTGCTCGTCTCGTTGCAGTGGTAGTAGCCTCTCTTGCTTACTTTCGCAACTGAATCATTGTGATAATCAAACACTGTAAACAGAAGAGGGGAAAAAAACATAAAATCACATGTTATCCGCAAGTATATATAGAAAACTACCATAAACTTCAAAATCAACAGATCAAATATTACGAATATATGGTGCTACCTAGCTACACAGTTTTATGCCTAAATAATTGAATTTGGATCCTCTCCACTACAAAAAAGTAGTGGAGAGATCACTACTTTTAATCTCAATCATTGATTACTTAGTAGACGGTTATGATGCAATCTAAATCTAACACTCACCATACCCCGTGTATTGCACAAATTCCTATTTGCACTCAAAGAAAAATCACAACCACCAACTAGATAATCAATGGTGACCATGTTATTGGAAGGATCTAAATAAGACCAAAAACTTATTTAAATAAGACCAAAAATGTTCGAAAGCGACCATGTTTTCCCTAATGACAGTTAGACATGAGGCATGGTTTAATGAAAGAGGAGGAATACATGCACGACATGGTGACTTACCAATTGAATCGCCCACGATGAACTTGATCTTGCTTGCCCATGTCTCATAAAAGTCAGGGTCATTATCAGCGGGAACTCGCCAACCATCACCGTCGCCAACCTTGTACTCATTCTTAGCTCCGGCGATGACAGCCAGGTTTGCAGCAAGGAGGAGAAGGCACAGGATCAAAGAAGAAGAAGACATCCCCATTGCTCTCTTTGGATTAATACTTAGTAACGACGAGGTTTCCAGAGTTTGGGGGTTCTGAAAGCTCTCAGGTTACGTACTAAAGAAAGAAGAGGCTGCGTGATATAAGGACAGAGGCAAAGCGGGGCGGTTATTGTTAGTTTTTGAAGTGAGGGAGTGGAGAACGTGGGGGTAAGTTCTACAGTTACAAACAGAGAATGGCCTCCGCAAAGGGGAAAAATGGTGATCCATGGAGTTATCTGGATGCAGTTTTACGGAAAATGGTGAGCACCAAAATGCTCGAGTCGGTATTATGAAGGAAAATTTTGAAGTTAAGGAACGAGATGAACCTGTCACCTGTCCACCATGGAACCGTTAAGGTCAACTGTACTCTCAGGGGGACAAAAAAACTTGAACGACATAGTATAAATCGATAGTCATCTTTAATGATACCTCCCAACTTCGATGGACTGAAAAAATATATTTGATTCTCACCCAAGTATATCAGAATTTGCTGGAGATTTGGAAAGTTATCATATTATAAGTATAACTGGGGAGCTTTGGCGCCTGCAAAGGAAAAGGAATCATTAGAGAGAGCAGTTAATACGTATGATAATAAGCAGAACTTCTGACCAGTGCTTAAACTTTAGATAGCATTCATATATGATTCCGTTATGCTTTGTACACCGGTTGATACATTCATTGTTCACAAAATATCATTCAGACGTTCAATTTTTTTTGTTTAGCATTAGACGTGCCTAGAGTCTCTGATATGCATAATAGGATATATCAAATTCTAGAACACATAAACAGGAGTATTCAACATGAACTTATCAGGTAACATAGTTCTTGAATATCTGAGTCCGTGCGATACAAGTCTTCATCCTCCTTCAAAGTATTGGTGCTACATAATGTCAGCAAAGTCAGAGGGATTTTGTCTCGGTCTAAGGAAGACTGAGAAATGCTACGTCGTCATGCAGATATACCTTTTTATGTGTCTGTGCTCAGGCGTACGTGAGCATTTATGTTATGTATGCAGTGTACGTATTTATGTACGTACGTACGTACTTATGCATGTACGTATCTATATATGTATGTGTGTATCAATATATGTACGTCAAGGTGACTGTCCAGTCTGACACTTTATGGGCAAGTTATTTTTCTGTTAATAAGTTGGATAAACCCCATTACACATAAATGCAACGGAAACCCCGCTATAAACATATTGGTTGTGTGCCTAGCTCCAACCAATGGCATTCGCTATTGTCAGCAAGGGCTCCAACCTTACCTAGGCTGAATTAGTAAATTATCTTCGATACTGGCTGTATAAGGATTTCAACCCTATTAGCTTCTTTTTTGCTATCATTTTGTATCATGCATGTTTAGCCTTTGTGCAGGAAAGACGTACTCACCACTTTGACATTCACAGGTATCATCACTATGAATAAATCATATTGGAACCCTATAAGTAATTACTGCTGTTTGCACGCTGCACCAAAGTTACAATTTTATCAATTTTCCTAATAAAAACTTATATGACAGTAAGAATCCGGTATGAAATATGTAGAATGCATATTGGTAGAAGCATAACATTTCGAGTGCACAAGGTAACCGTTATACCCGGAGAGAAAAGGACATCAAAACTCCTTGAGGGGCTGCATTTTGTTGAAGGAAAAACCAGATGATCATTGTTAAACAAAGTGAGGTCCAGCTGTGAACGGAATCGATCTGAGGCAAATTTAATCGAGCCATAAGTCTTCCATTCAACCTGCGGAATAAAAAAGTAAAATGCATTCGTGAAGCAAAATAAGCCTGGGTTTTTATGAGAATCAAAGCCCATTTAATAATTCAAACCTCGTCACGTTCTCAATATAGCCGGAATAAGTAAGTTCATTGGAATAAACATCTAGGCCATGAAGATTTGCTAAAGCTTCAATCTGAGTGATGGACTAAGATACAATTCTTCTAAAGCAACCTGTAATCCTGCCGTGAAAGTCAAACGGTTGCTCTGCAAACTTAGGGCCAGTTTGGTGTTCATCGAGCTTATAAAAGCAACTTATGTAAGCTGTTAAAAATAGTTATTTGGTAATCAAATATAAAAATTTGCTTTTAAAAAAGTTAAAGGTGTTTGATAGAACTGTGGTTGGTTAATGACAATCATTGTTAAAAGATAAAAGGTATATATGATATATAAACTAAAAAAGCAGAATCTGCTTTTAATAGCATGCTCAGATTGCTTCTAAGAGCACCCCTTTAAAAAACAAGAAAGCTTCAATAAGTAAGCTAAAAAAATTTCACCAAACATCATTATTGATGCTTATTGAAAAAATAAGCAGAAGTGCCCTAAAAAGGCAATACCAAATTGACCTTAATTTTTCTGATACCACTCACATCACACAAGTTTACAGCCTAAACTCTTGCAAACTTGTCCAGGTTTGCACGTTCTTCACAATCTGAAATTAGACAAAGTAGGCAAAATAGAACAAAGAATCAATAGAATAAGAATGGGCAAGTCAGCTTGCATTACCGCCTTCATCAATAATCTGTTTAAACCAAGTTCAAGAATCTGCAGTAGTTGCCAGTGCTCGAGTTTTTCCATCTCTGGAGTATCAATGTCAGATACGGAGCAAACTTTGGGGTATTTAAGTGCAAAAAGCCTTCAAAATATGAAAATCTTACTTAATCAGCTCAGAATTCACATCTTTTGAACTCAATACAAATATTTAACAGCTCGAAACATAAATTATACAAAGCATAAACCCCGACAATTTCTTCTCAATCGATTAAGATCCCGCGTTAACTTCTGCTCTACATCAATAGCACTTTATTATATCTGCACCCATTGGAAGAAAAGAATTTTGGCATAGCTTCCTTCAAAAACTAATAATCCTTCCGTCATTATATCTTCAACTCGCTGGAAACTTTATAATACTGGATCTATTGCTTGCCTAGATGTCAGCCAACAAGAGAGAACCTTTGGATCACTATATAGGGCCCGGTCCACTGTATACTTTCTTCCTACTCACAACCCAAACATCAAGTCCATGACTCTGGACACAACCGACTTTACCGGAGAAGCAACAGCTCCAGTTGAACGATGCCCACCACCATCTTTAACCAAGGGCACTGAGCTCAGGGTTGAAGATCTCTTTGATGCAGACTGTGAGGGTAAAGAACCCATGAAACCTCCATTGGAGTTGATGCTGACCTTCTCGTTCAAGTATTGACGTTGGCTTGGATCTACAGGCTTCACACCGATTATGAGAACGCTGTTTAGTTGTGCACCATTCTTTGCTAAAGCCTTCTGAGCATCATACCGGTTCTGCATATCAGAGAATTATAAGGATGAAACAATAGCAGTAGAGACAGTGCGGCTTGACGTTTATATACAAGTCTAAATTGATGCATGTTGATTACTCGGTTACAAGTCAGTGCAACCTAGCATATAACAAAAATAAGGATTTTTGGTACACACCCCTGAACTACTGAAAATCTCACAAACAACATTAACGGATAGAATAATAAGATTGAATTATGACAAGTCAAAGTTTGTTCTAGAAAACGTTAAATGAAGTGTGTTATGTGGAAGAGCAAGACACAACGATCAGGTCACATTTTAAGACTTCTAAGTTCATATGCGCATGAGATTTTAGAATAGTTCTGCATGAGATGTTACAATAGTTCAGGGAGTTTAGTGGAATTTTGAAAGTTGAGGTTCTCTGTTTTATAACGTTCAGGGGCTTATAAAATGTAATCAAAAGTTAATGTTGGAGTTGCGGAAGCTAGATGGGCAATTGATTTTAGTTTTTGTAGGATTGAGAATGGAGGAAGTAGAAGGGAAAATGAGAAGAGGCTAAGAACTTGAAGTAACTTTGTATGAATTGCTTAAGGCTTGATTACAAAGCTTACATTCAAGGCCTATTTATAGGTTCACAAGGAATTCTCTAGAATGCTTAGATTTTGCATGATACATCAAGTTTTTAGAGAATTTTATATAATTCTATTTTCTACATACATTCATGCTTAATATATCTAGTTCCTAGATTATTCTAGACATTTCTAGTTTACATGCTTTTTACAAATATTCTAGAGTTTTCTAGAATTACAAATTATCTTCTAACAGTTAACTCAAACTTGGAAAATTTTAGTGATATTGTCTCTGCTTGCCCTGTTTTTGGGCAGTGTTGGGGTTAAGATGGGGCTGGGGGAATTTCAGTGACGTTGTGTCCAGAGACAACTATCAGCTAGTAGCAATCTGCTTCATTTTTTTCCTATCACACCCCTTTTGCACAAAATACATACTAAAAAATGGGTATTACATATGTAAGAAGTGATGCTCATCACCGGTCTCTGAGGACTGGAGAAGTCCTAAGATTATGCAACAGAAAATTGTGGTGCTCCATTCTTAAATTCAGGTTTCCTTCCAAAGAATCTCTAGAATCAATATTAAAGGGTGGTGCATAGACATAAAATTTTAGTTGAGGTATAGTTAAACTGTTAAAAGTAATTAGGACAAAAAAAAACTCCAGTAACCTTAATGCTTTATATCAAAGAGAAGAAGGCTTAAGTGAAATTATAATACCTGATAGAGAATGTGCATCCAGTTAGCATCTCTTGGACCAGGGACATGTTTCAATATTACACCACATTTCTCAAACTCACGAAGCACCAGATTGGTGTCCCCAGGGGAGAAACTGAAAGGAAAGGATAATAAAAAGTGGCATTAGAATTGGAAGAAAGAAATTCAACTGACATGCTAGCACAATGGGCAGATTGGATAGTTGCCAACAGACAAACAGTAACCTGACAGTGAGAATATTATGATAAAAATAACAATGTTATTTTGATGGATCAAGGTATCACGACTGTAAGGACATGTGCAGACTCAGAAGCCAAGTTTTGGAAAACTTCAAACATACATATACAATCTACAACAGCAAGATATATGCAGTAATATACACATGTTTAGCGGTTTCAGAAAATACGAATGCAATATAGCAACAAAGCCATGTATGCAATTGGACAATTTTCCATGTCGAATTCCTAGTTTTCATGTGAAAATAAAATGCTCTCTACACTAAGTTATAAATCTAATCAACAAGATAAATGTCTATAATTAACCAAGGATCTTCTCCATTTATTTCCACATAAATACATTTGTCACGAACATTTTCACCTAGATAGCATGGATACGGGTGCGGACATGGACAAGGACGGTTACGGACATAGGACATGGCAAGTTTGTAAAATATAGGATACGGGGACACGGCTGTACACACACACATTAGATCAAATATTGAATTGAATTAAAAATCTTATAACATTTGCATGTATCAAGAATCAAGTTAAATCAAACTAAGAATAAGGCTTAAAAACAAAAGTTTAATCTTGATCACATGGATATTACAATGGGTATCTTTCAAATATGTAAGTAATAGGTTTCAGTTTTCGGGTTCAAATCCGATCGATTTTCTCTCCAAAGGAACTAGTTTAGGGTATAAATAAAAGGAAAATCGGGTTTTGATTTGAACCACAGTGTCCATGGCACACGAATAGGGGTGGCAATTCTGGCTCAATAACCCACCTGGATCCACCCAGTATGAGACCTACCTAAACCAACTCATTTAGCTAAATGGGTCCAATCGAGTAGGTAACTATTTTTGTATACATTAAATGGGCATTCGATGGGCGGGCCTTGACCCACCCATGACCTTACCTAACTGAAAACACCCAAAAATCTCTCTCGACTCTCTCCTCTCTCTACGATACTAATCCAAAATCTTAAAAATCTCGTCTCCCCTCTCTCTGTCATTCCTCCCTCCGAGCATCGATTCCTCTCTCCGAGAACCAACTCGTCTCTTTCCGGTGATCCTCGTTAAACCCAAAACCACTGAGCCCTAATTTCTCCAACGATCTCTCCGGCTCTTTGGATGGAGCACAAAGCCCTAATTTCTCCGATGATCTCTCCGGCTCTTTGGATAGAGCTATTGTTGGAAGTCTAGTAATTCATCTCTCAGATCTCGTTCTCGACGTCGATTTGCTTAGCTAAAACCTAGAGGGTATAAACCCTAACCTTTATTTCTAAATTCACAAGTTTACTTCCTTAATTATTGTGTTTGGCTGCAAATTGATGAATTTGGTAGTTCCTTATAATCTTCCATTTTCTTTTTGATGTTTCGAGCCCTAATTTCTCCGACGATCTCTCCGGCTCTTTGGATGGAGCTATTGCTAAAAGCCTAGTAATTCATCTCCCTGATCTTGTTCTCGATGTCGATTTGCTTGTATAAACCCTAACCTTTATTTCTAAATTCACAAGTTTACTTCTTTAATTATTGTTCTTGGTTGCAAATTGATGAATTTGGTAGTTCCTTAATCTTCTAATTTCCTTTTGATGTTTCGATCAAGTAAGCCCTCTTGAAAACTGTGAATCTTCCATATTTCAAGTAGTCGAATAACCATGAACACGCCTAAAAATTAACCTTCTTACAGGAGTAATTGACTATTTGATATATTTCTCAGAATCTATGGATAGAAGTTAACCTGGACTAATCAATGTTCATCTTTCTAATCAATAAGAATGAAAAAATTTGAGATTACAATTTGGGTGAGATTGCTTCAAAAAAATTATCTGCAAAGCAGTGGTAAATTTGCTTTAACATATAATTACCTTGACTTCACACTTGTATGAATCGCACATACAATTATCTTTTGAGTGAATTATGGGTAGGAGGCCAACTTAGCCAGGTGTTTTGATGAGTTTATGAGTGAGGCTAACTAGGAGGTTAATCCCTCTGAAAATAACAAGGAGGTTAATCTCTCTCATTTAGTAAGACAATTATTTTGACATTTGGAACAATAAGCATACACATTCCACACTCCGCTTCTCCTAAGGACCAAGCAACCCAGTAGAAATGGTATACAACTAGTTCGTTGAGTTTTTATGGACTAGTAGAGATGAACCACCTTTACTATTTAACTATTAGATTTGTTGAGTTCCTATGGTGCTCTTTTTGCTTTCTCATTATTTGAATCTCTACCAATATTTGATTTGATATTAACTTCTTGTTTTAGTTGTTATGTCTTTGAATGGATTTACTGCATGCAATGATGGTAGTGATAATAAAATTGCATCTAAACGTAAAAGAAGAGCAAAATCAAAACTTCGGGAGTTTTTTATTGAGTTGTCTACTAATAGTGATGGGAAAGCTAAAATTCAGTGCAAGAAATGTGACCAAGTTTATGTTAGTGATCATGGTACCACAAATATGTTGAGACATATTCATTCTTGCACAAAACGAGATATAGACGAGGCTGATTCGTCATGAAAAAAAATGTCATTAGATCAAGATAATTAAGGAGAAATGTTGGCTAGGGTAATTGCATTGCATGATTATCCATTCCGTTTTTAGAACATTGAGGGATCCGCGAGTTACATACATTTTTAAATCCTAAAGTCAAGCATATCTCGAGGAACACCACAAAAGCTGATTTGCTTAAGTTGTACAAGAAAGAGAGAAATTCTTAAACAAACTTTGAAGCTACTTCCTAAATCAGTCTAACTACAAACTTGTGGATCTCTTCAACCTCAGAGTACTGCATGTCTCTTATTGCACATTATATTGATGAGCAATGAATCTTGCAAAATAAAATATTAGCTTTCTCATGTTTCCCCATATAGTGAGCCAATTTTAGTAGAGAAACTATTTCATTTACTGAAGAAGTGGGGCATAGAAAACAGAATTTTCACCGTTACATTGGATAATGTGCCACATCATGATACTTTTATGAAAATTTTAAAAGACCATCTTATTTTAAAGGAGCATTTTGTCTCTAATGGTGAATTTTTGCATGTACAATGTTGTGCTCACATTTGAAATCTTGTTGTGCAAGATGGCTTAAAAATAATTAATAAATATTTATCCGAGTTTAGAGAACGCATTAAATATGTGAAGAATCCCTCTGGAAGGAAGAAAAAGTTTGTTGAGTGTATCGAACAAACTTGTTCAGTTAGTGCAAAGAAAATTCAACAAGATGTGTCCAATAGGTGGAATTCCATCTTTTTAATGTTGGAGAGTGTTTTACCTTTTCGTCGGGCATTTGAGCGATTGAAGGTAATCGATTTAAATTTTGCAGTTTGTCTATAAAATGAAGAATGGGTAAAGACTGAAAAATAGCATTTTTCTTGAAACCTTTTTATAAAGTGTCCACTTTTTTCTAGAAGTAAATACCCAACTTCTAACTTGTATTTTGGTGGAGTGTGGAAGATACAAAATTGCATAAAGAGAGGATGAGAAGTGAAGATGAAGACATAAAATCCAGGGTACAGGATTTGGAGAAAAAGCTTAACAAATACGGGAAGTGTTATAGCAAGATTTTGTCCTTTACAATCATCTTACACCCCTGTTATAAGGTGAAGTATGTAGGGTTTTGTTCTCAAAAAGTAGATTTTGGTTCTAATCATGTGGCGACTATCTTGGATAAGCTAAAGCTTCTTTACAAAGAATATGAAAGAGCATCAAATGATATATCCATGGTTGGTAATAGTTCAGAAAGAGGCCTTTGAAGATGTTCGTGATGATGAGATGTTTGAGTTTGAACAGTTTTAGAGTCAAATAGTTTCAGTTAGTAGGGACCAAGTCTGAATTAGAAGAGTATTTAGACGAAAAGATGGTTTGTTGGAAGAATAATGAGAATTTGAATGTTCTTAAATATTGAAAAGCAAAATCTGAGAAGCATCCTCAATTGTCCATGATGGCTCGTGATATACTCAGTATCCTTGTTACTTGATCTCTAAATTTGCTTTCAGCATAGTTAGTCGTGTGCTTAATAGGTATCACAATCGTCTTCTTCCAGAGAATGTCAAAGCTCAAATATGCATCGGTTTTTTATTAGATAAGATTCCTTGTAAGTTGCTTACTTTTTATTGTTGATTTTTTGTAAATTTATGGTGTACATGTTTGTCTTATATTAGATTAACATAGTTGGTGTACATGTTTGTGCTATATTAGTGTTATATTAGATTAACATAGTTGTTTCCCATGATCTAAATGGAGATTTGGCAGATATTGAAGGACATTTCTTAGTGTATGATTTTAGTAATATTCAGATTTTTTTTAATCGGAAGGCGAAATCTAGATGTTTATTTTCTTTGAGATATTTTCTCTCTTCCCTTTCTCTCTTGATGACATAGGTGGATGGAAAATGAACCTTAAAGGTACTAAAAGATCAGATAAAGGAGAGTGACCCGGAAGAATCCTAAGACTTTACAAGTCTAGAAGCTCTTTATTCTCTTCATGTTGATCCTAAAATGCTTTAAGTAATGAAAGGATCACACAAAAATATTTTGCCTAGAATATCATATTTTTCAGAATAACTCTACGCAATCCATATTTATATATATATATTTATTTGACTTTTATTTATTGCTTATGGCAGTGACTTATTTTATTTTTCAGGAAAGACAGGTCATTAGGCTTGTGGCAGCATTTGGATTCACTCATGGATGTTCATAACTCATAAGCTGAGATGGTAAGGGCTACCACTTCCCATACTGCATCTGGTTATTTATACTAGCAATAGTATTACCTTCAAAATCCCAGAGCTATGGAAGTTATTGGTTTAGCATAGATAATACAGAATCATAACTATATATCATGTGATATACACTCAATTTCCTTTTATGTGTTAAAAGTAGTCATCTATGCAACTCTTCTTCATGTTCTTATTATATACAAACTGGAAGTTTTCATTTTGTACTTAAAACAACCAATAAATATAACAATACAAACAAGTAAAAATATTCAACTCTTGATCATCAATCTAAAATTCAGAGACCATATCAATAGCAACAAAGAAAAGTCTCATATATGACTATACCCGACAAAAAATAAAAACTAAACCTATGAAATTAATAAACCAAAAATAAGTAAAAATAAGTAACTAACCTAAAGCTTTAGAGACAAATCCAGAGCATCCAATTGAGTTACACTACCCATGTGAACTTTTAAATCTGGTTGGTTATCTTAAGAAATTTATTGTGACCTATTCTTCAAAATAATAATAACAGCAATGATATAAACTACTATGGCGATTAATTCCTGATCTTCCTCGAGGATTTGAGTACTTAAAGTCTCCTCTTAGTAGCTAGAAATACCTTCGATACTGAACATATTGTACTTGAATATTGAGACTGCCCATTTCTTGATGCTAGTAGTGATTAGTTCATATTAAAGATTATGTCATTTTCTTACATCAATCTATTACTCATTCAAAGGTCTAAGGCTACTGGAAGTTGTTATAGTATTTGGAACTTCAGTGTGCTCTCAAAACCTGTATACTATTATCTATAGCTTTGTCATTTGAAACTTTATTGAGATTATCAACTTTGATTGTAGCATGTGAAAACCTTCATCGGTTAGCTTTTAATTGTTTTAGTGTGTTCTCAAAATCTATATACTGATGATAGAAATTGATGTATTGATTGATTGAAGGTTGTTTCTAATGGGGATTAAAAAGTGTGGTAAAGGAAAATGGAGGAACATGTCAAGGAATTTTGTAGTCACAAGAACTCCTACTCAAGTTGCTAGACATGCTCAAAAATACTTCATCAGGCAGCATGTTGTAGAACATGATGCTTCGAGTATTGATGAGCTGTTATTTTGCCTTCTATAATATAAATATTCTTTGGATCGGTCACTAATTATGCTGTCATTTACTCGTAAATGCATTGTGCATTTTAATACTTCAAGTCATCACAATGAAATCTATAGGACAATTGCTTTCTTTGTGCATAAGCTCCACTTAATAAGTTGAGGGAGGATAAATTTTCATAGTATATAACAAAGCTATTACATGACCAAAAGTTTACAGAAAACCCCTTGAAAAGTTTGCACAAACCCCCTAAATTTTGTAAAAAGTCTCCAAATGTTTGCAAAAAAACCCCAAAATTTTGCAGAAAACCATTAAAAGTTTGCAGAAAGCCCCTCAATAGTTTGTAGAAAAACCCTCTAGTTTGAAAAAAAATCGCCCTGAGTTTGCAGAAAGCCCACCTAATCTTCGCAAAAAGCCCCCAAAATTTGCAAGTATGCCCTCACATTTGCAAATAGACCCCTAAAACTTTATAAGAAGTGACTCATTTAGCAAATGCTAAATGGGTCATAAATGGGCAAGTGGGCATAAATGTGCCCACTCATTTATGACCCAAGCAAAACTCACCCCAAACTACCCAACAACCCTACACACAACATCCAAGATGTCGTATCCGAGTAATCTAGCTTTTCACAAATCCCATTACTCTTTTATTCTTTTATTTTACTTCATAGTGCATACTTTACCAGTTGAACGTATGACTTCATGAAAGAAAATTTATTCCCTCAAAGGCCTAACTTAAAATGAACTCTATTGGACACTTGCAAATCTACAATGCTATTATCTCTAATATTTGCATCAGATATTTATAATTTTATATCACAAAGGGTGTGTAAGACAAATGACAACTGGAGGTAATTATGGGATTTGAAGATTTCAGTTAAACTACAATTAAGGGTTAGCCTTATATTTCACTAATGTTGAAGCAAAATTAACAACTGTCTACTGTTAGCAGATCGGTGATAATGGTAACTGTAATCTAACTCTATATTTAATCCCCCTTAGCTTTGTGTGTCACATTTTTTGAATCCCCAAATTCCCTTTCACACTTGGGATAAACTATGGAAATGTCATCACACTGGGAAAATCAACAGAAAAAACCTTGCGCTTGTAAAATTCAACAAAAATAGCCTCACACTTGGAAAACTCCAAAAGAAAAAAGAAAAAAAAACACTAACAAATCACCCATTTTCGAATCAAGTGCACGTCGCGTGCACCGAGATACTACTGATATTATGTGGCAATTCTAAAAAACAACAAAAGAATCATATCAATTATCAAATTATTAATCCGCTTCTCTACACAAAAGACAACAAAGTTTTGCCCTATGAAAAGCCCTCATCATGAAACTGAGCTTATTGAAATCAGTAGTAGTAAAGACAGATAAGAAGGACTGAAATTGCCAACCAAAATAGTAGGTGGTTTGATGGAGTATGTGAAACAAATCATATTTCTAGCCTAATATTACTTAAATAAAGGATCTAATCCAAAACTGAAAAGCATTAGTTACCTAGTTAGAAGGTAATCAGTAGAACATTATCAATAAGTGAATCTATCATCAGCAACTAAGGCAACATATTGTGACATTGTCCTGTTGCTACAAAATAATAACACAAAAGGCAGAACGATATTGTTTGTATTATGTGTTTTGTAACGGCAATATACAACTTTGATAATAAAAATGTAAACTTTAGGAAGTAGCAACCCGAGCTCTTAACAATAGATGTTTAATTTTCAAGCATTAATCAGTAAAAGCAGAAATAAATCATCATACCCATAAACTGTAATCCACTCCTCCTCACCCAACATCCCGTCCCTCGTCAGGACCCCCTGGTTCGCCGGCGGGACCATAACCAACGCCGACGAAGATGTCACCACTCCATCCACCGGCGACCCCTTCTCCTCTCTCACCGGCGGGGCCCACCTTCCCCCACCCGCAACGCTCTTCTCCGCCGCCACGCCGCCACTCCTCTCCATCGCCGCCCTCGTCCTGATCGGCGAAGGGGTAGAGAAGTAATTTCGTGTCGGCGTCGGGGTTTTCGTCTCGGGCGATATCGGTACCTCATGGATGGCGGGTTCGGGGGAGAAATCGACGCGGTCTTCCAGGGTGAAGACCGGAGGCGGTGGAGGGTCATCGGAGGTGCTGCGGAGACGGCGAAGCGAGAGGATCTGTGGGCGGAGACTGGGGATGCAAGATCGCGGAAGAAGAGCGATCGGCGTTCTGGAGGCTTGGAGCTCGGGGTTCGATGGATTGTGGAGCTCATCTTTTGGGGTTAGGGTTAGGTTAGGGTTAGAGGGTTTGGGGTTAGATTTTAGAGGAAGGTGATGACTACCCCCAACCCCAGATGGAGTCGAGTTCGTCTTTTTTCAAATTTCTTTTTGAAAAAGGGTGTGAATTTGTGATGGAAATGACGTTAAAGCCCCTATTTATAGTGGGATACGGTTGGGTCCGGTTGAACCATTGGAGGCGGGTAGGACTGGGCATATTCGGTTCGGTTCGGTTTTATGCCCAATCCGCATTCAATCCGAATTTTTCGGATGCTCAAAACTCTCATCCAGATCCAGATTTTTTTCCCCTTTATCCGAATATTCGGCCCAACCGAAATTCGGTTCGGTTTCGGTTTTGAATTTGCAAAGAGTTCTATCCAAAGACTTCTGTTGTGAATTTGCAAGCTGGGCATTGTCCTCATGATGAGGTTCCTGAGCTCGCCAACAAAACTTTATTAGATTGGTTATCATCTTTAGAATAAAGTTTTGAGTTTATATAATTACGCAGAGAACTGATGTTTTAAAGCTGTTGTTCATATAATACAACATGCTTATCTCTTGTAAGTATCATGTACATAACACGTTTTGTGATTGATTTGAATCTTATGTAATTCTCAAGATCTTTTCTGCGAAATTTTTTAACTAAAGTTTAAGTTTATTTAATTACACGGGGGAGTGATGTTTTGTATGATATTGTTCATATAATGTAGCATATGTATCTTTTGTAAGTGCATCATGTGCATAACAAATTTTCTGGATTGATTTGAATCTTTACTTAGTTCTCAAGGATATTTTTCTGTGATATTGCTGTACTTATTGCTTGAACTGCTCCTTGCACCGTTTGAATCTATTGGATGATAACAGGAAAAGTTTTGAGGTATAAGTTTAGTTTCTAAACCGCCCAACAAAATTCGGGTCGTTTTTTTTTTTGGCGGTTCAGGGTTCAAACCGGATCAAAACCGATTTAATTCGGTTCGGACGGTTTAGAGACTTCTTCTCATCCATTTAATTCGGTTCGGTTAACCGGTCCGTTTTTTCGGGTGGTTTTTTCGGTTGAACCGATTTTTTCGGTTTTTGCCCACCCCTAGAGGCGGGGATGAAAATAAAAGATCACATTTCATAATTTGAGTGTTAATGAAACTGTGGCGAGACTCTCTCACATGTTTATTAATACTCATAGGACATTTAATTATAGACTACCTTCGTGTGCAATAACACCCCAGAATGTTTCATAATTATACTATAAAAAGTATTTACAAATTTCAATTCGCCCTTCCAACAAAAAACACAAACAAAGGGCGGATTTATATTTATTATTAGGGCTAATTTCAATATAGTACCCGTTAGTTAAAAAATATCTAGTAAGCCACTATGAAGGAATTTTAATTCTTTAAAAATTTAAGATTATAAAGAGAATCAATATCAAAGTTTTGTTAATGTTAACTTCATCTTAACTATGTGACGCAGTGCGGAAGTGATAACCTCGGAATCCACCAAGGGTGTTCTCTGAATCCACAAAGAACGATCTTCAAATCCACGAAGAAAATATTGAAGAAAAACAAAATTTTATTAATCAAAAGTTATGCCTCTAGGGCTTACAAGACTCTTCTTAAATAGAAAAAGAAACAAGACTCCTACAAGTACTCTAATTCCTACAAGGACTCACAACTTACCAAAAATGGTAAAAAATTCCTAAAACATTAAAACTCCTAAAAAGACTCCTTATGATTAGGAAAGTCCTCCAGTCAAATCTGAGATCAAATCGGATTTGTTTTCTAAACAAAACAGACTCCTAAAATATTACTAAAAATAGTAAAAACGGAAAAAAATACAAATATCTCTCAAACCGTAAGGAATTTGGCGAAACTGAGAACACAAACCGAACCCGAGATGGCTCCGTCTCGTCGAAATAGTCGATTTTCATATATAATTTGTCCAATTCTGACGTACGGTTTGAAAGTTACGGCCGTTTCTTCGAAACAAGTTATTTTCTTCGACCAGGTCCGCATTTGGGCTTGCGACTGTCCTACTTTGACATAAACGTGTCTGCTAAGTGTTCTACATTAGTCCCTCCTGATTGAAAAGAGCTCGACCCCGAGCTTACACTTGCATGAATAACTGTTTTTTCTGGTGGGTAATACTCAAACAAATCTGCAACATTGAAACTAGGAGAAATACCCAAATCTGTAGGAAGGCTCAAACAAATCTGCAACATTGAAACTAGGAGAAATACCCAAATCTGTAGGAAGGTCAACCACATAAGCGTTGTCGCTAATCTTCTTCAGTATTTTGCATGGATCATACTTCTTATTCTTCAGCTTGTTGTAGGTGCCCACGGGAAAACGTTCTTTTCGCAGAAACACCATCACCATGTCTTCTTCTTCAAACACCTTCTTTCTCCTGTGCTGATCAGCATCGGCTTTATATTTAGCATTAGACTGCACTATCTTTTCCTTCACCTCCTGCTGGATAGCACGTATCTTTTTAACCATATGATCCGCAGGAACACTCTGTCCGGGAAGCTTAGGCAATGGAGCAAGGTCGAGATAATGATTCGGAAGCCTTCCATACACAATCAAAAAGGGTGCCTTGCATGTAGTTCGACTCTCCATACAGTTATAAGCAAACTTAGCATGTGCCAAAGCAAGATCACACTGTTTCGGTCGATCTCCAGAGATGGATCTAAGAAGGTTACCGAGTGTACGATTGACCACTTCAGTTTGGCCATCTGTTTGAGGGTGATAGGCAGTACTAAACTTAAGAGAAGTATTGAATCTCTGCCACAAAGTTCTCCAAAAGTGAGATAAGAACTTAGAATCTCGATCAGATGTAATGGACTTCGGCACTCCATGAAGGCGAACTATCTCCCAAAAGAAAAGATTAGCAATGTTGCTCGCATCTACAGTCTTCTTGCACTGAATAAAGTGTGCCATCTTCGAAAACATGCCAACCACAACAAAAACATAATCCATACCTCGTTGAGTTCGAGGCAGTCCCAACACAAAGTCCATAGAGATATCATGTCATGGTGTATCTGGAACAGGTAAAGGTGTATACAATCCTGTATTCTGAGACTGTCCCTTAGCAACTTGAAAAATTGGACAACGCCGCACATATTTTTCTGCTCCCTTCTTCAACTGAGGCCAGTAATATCGTTCTTCAATGGCTGCAATTGTTTTATCATGTCCCAAATGTCCTCCTAGTCCGCCAGCATGAAGGTCTTGAATTATCTGCTCTCTTAGTGAACTTTGGGATATGCACAATTGATCGCCATGAAATAGATAACCATCCTGAATATGAAAGTCTTTGACTGGTTTATTTTGAAGACAGTCATCCCAAATCTTCTTAAAATCTTCATCCTCTGCATACAGCTCCTTAAGGTACTCAAACGCAATCACTTCAGCCTTCAAAGTTACCAACAATCCAGCTCTCCTACTGAGTGCATCTGCAACCTTATTCTGCTGCCCGGATTTATGCTTCAAAACAAAGGTGAAATGCTGTAGATATGCAATCCAACGAGCATGCATACGGTTGATGATAGTCTGACTATTAAGGGTCTTTAAAGCCTGATGATCAGTGTGAAGCAGAAACTCTCTCGAGATCAAATAGTGCTCCTAATGCTTCAAAGACTGAACTATGGCATATAACTCCAGTTCATATGTGGTCCACTTCTGCCGAGCTTCGTTGAGTTTCTCACTGTAAAAGGCATCTGGACGCCCTTCCTGAGATAAAACACCACAAATTCCTATGATGGACGCATCATAATCAACTTCAAAGACTTTTTGAAAATTTGGAAGTGCAAGCACAGGTGCGGTGGACAAATTCTCCTTGATCAGTGCAAAGCTACGATCTGCATCTTCCCCCCAATTGAACTTTCCTTTCTTCATGCATTTAGTTATAGGTGCTACAATGCTGTTGAAATTTCTTACAAATCTCCTATAGAATGTTGCTAGGCCATGAAAACTACGAACTTCGCTGACAGTCTTTGGGGTAGGCCAATCTCTAATAGCATGAACTTTCTCTTCATCAACATGAATACCCTCTGCACAAACAACAAAGCCTAGAAACACGTGACTACTGGTTATGAAGTTGCACTTCTTCAGATTAATGTACAACTTGTTCTCCTGCAAAACTGTTAGTACCTCCCTCAAGTGGTCCATATGTGCAGCCCCACTCTGGCTATAAATCAGGATATCATCAAAGTAAACTACGACGAACTTGCTGATAAAGTGTTTTAATACCTGATTCATCAATCGCATGAAAGTGCTAGGGGCATTAGAAAGACCAAAAGGCATGACTAACCACTCGTACAGGCCTTCTTTTGTTTTGAAAGCAGTCTTCCACTCATCTCCTTCCCTAATCCGAATCTGATGATAGCCACTTTTGAGATCTATCTTGGAGAACACTTTTGAACCAGATAACATGTCTAGCATGTCTTCCAAGCGTGAAATAGGAAATCTATACTTCACTGTAATCTTGTTGATAGCCCTACTGTCCACACACATACGCCACTCTCCATTCTTCTTTGGGACTAGTAGTGCTGGCACTGCACACGGACTCATGCTAGGTCGTATAAGGCCCTTCTGGATGCGATCATCCACCTGCTTCTGCAAAATCTCTCCTTCCTTCGGACTCATCCTATAGTGTGGCAGATTTGGTAGTCGAGATCCAGGGATAAAGTCGATCTGATGTTGAACATCCCTAAGCATGGGTAATTCAGAAGGAAGATCATAAGGCATAACTGCATCAAATTGTTGTAAGAGGGTTTGTACTTCAGGTGGAATTTCGGCAGTGGCAGACTCCTCTTTTTTCGAAACTACAAGGGCATAAATCTCATCAGACTGCTTCACATCTTTCATAAAGTCTTTATTGTC